AGAATAGAATAGAATAGAATAGAATAGAATAGAATAGAATAGAATAGAATAGAATAAGGACTAGGACAGGAGTGGAGCAGAGCGGAGCAAAACAGAACAGAATTCCTTATTAGCCAAGTGTGATTGGACACACAAGGAATTTCCCTTGGTGCAAATGCTCTCAGTGCACATAAAAGAAAACATACATTTGGTCAAAAGTCAAGAATCATCAGGTACGACACTTAACGAGAGTCACGGGGTACAATAAGCAATCAAAGGGAAGGGGGATTTTGCAGTGGCCTTTCCCTGCCACACCCTCCAAGCCACGCCCACAGAAACGGTAGTCAAAGCAATGTTGGATCCCCGCACTGGCACCGGGAGGGCCCTCCCCTGACCCGCCGCGATGCTGACCTTGGGTCTGGATGGGATTGAAGAAGGGGAACTTGTCCTGGTAGAGGCCCTCAAAGGCGCTGTTCCTCAGCGCAGAGACCGGCAGGGGCTGCAAGTCCAGCAGTTCCGTGGGAGGAGGGTACTTCTCTGGCAGGATTAAGTGTCGGAAGGAGACCGGCAGTTGCGTCTCGCAGGCTGGAATGAGCAAGCAGACAAACACACCTGAGGAACGGGGACACCTGGAGACAGACACACACACACACACACACACACACACACACACACACACACACCCCGGGGCACCAAGAGGCTGAGGAGAAAAACCCAGCTCTTGCTGGGGACCGGTCTCCCTTTTTCGTTTTGTATTTTAATATATGGTTTTATTTTGATCCATAAACATTTTGAACACAGTGTACTTGCCAGGGCGTATCATTTACGAAAATGCAAAAGAAAAAACAGAAATATCAACATATATACTAGTAACAATGGTGATAGTGTAACAAAATAATTTTAGCTGAGTTTTTTTGTATTAGCTTATTTATAGTTCTGTTACTTATCTCAACGTGTTTCTAATTGTCAACCCTCTTTGTATTTAATTCTTGCATAACGGTCATCTTTCTTCATCTAATTTCTGCCTCTTATCTCTAGCCACTCGTAAAATCTATTCCATGTTAAGTAATATTCTGTGTCTTCTGTGCCTTTATGTTTAATGTCAATCTATCCATCTCTGCACAGTCAAGTATTTTCCGTATTACATCCTCATCGGATGGGGCGTTCTCGTTTCTCCAATGTTGTGCAAATACAATCCTTGCAGCTGTCAACACATGCAAAATTCAGTATACAGTTCCCTTTGTTCATAGCCTTCTGGCATTATACCCAACAAAACTATTCCTGGTTTCCAGTCTAGGTGTTCCTTAATTATCTTTTCCAACCTTAACCAGCTCTCCATGTTTCTTTCTTGCTGGGAGCTGGTCTCCTTTGGAGGAGAGAGCCAACAGTTTGGAAATGATGCCATGTGGCTCGTTAAGTTACCACACAGGTTGTTATCAGTCGTGCAACGTTACCTGGGGGTGTCGTTGTGGTTTGTACCGGACACCCTACTGGCTCCAAATAACCTTCAGGAGGTGCAACAGGTATAGCGACAACAATGCAGACTGGACTGATTGTTTCTGCCTCCTTTACACTCCTCATGGGCTCTGATTTGTAACGGTCTATAAAGTGTAAATTATTCTTCTTCCGTCTTTTAAGTACATGGCTCTTGAATCGGTGCTAAACTAAACTTTTAAACATGTTTTCTGAGGTGTTGTATTTATGTGAGCTGTTTTGGACCCAGGCTCACAATGGAAAAACAAGGATTAAAAGAAAACCTGGGGGAGTCAACCTTGAGCCGGTGAGATTCGAACTGCCGAACGGATGACCGTGAGCAGAGTCAGCCTGCAGTACCGCATTCTCACCACTGCACCACCACAGCTGTTATGAAATACCAAACCGGGCTGACTTTCTGCACGGAAATGGCTTATGCGCAGATAAGACGCCTTCGTAACACATTCTCCCAACGTCGCTGTTTCCAGCAAGGGAGCGTACATTTCTCCACCCAACCTCTCCAGGGACTTACAAAGCCAGCGATCGGAGACCACCCGGATGAAGTACTGCGGAGGAAGAGGCTCAAAAACGGGCACGAAGAAGGTGATGAGGTGCTCGTCCTGAGCGTACTTGGCCTTCAGAAGGAAATACTCGTGGTGGAGGATCACCTCGCTGTCCACGTCTTCCACCAAAATCCAGAAGGCTTCCGAGGAACCATGGACCTGCCCCCCACCGCAAAAAAAAAAAAAAAGAGAGGAGAGAGACGGGATCATAACCGAGGAAGCAAGGAGAGCCACCAAACCAAGACTGAAGGGGGTTTCTCCACCATGAAACGCCATCCTCAAGATCCCACCTCCTCAACGTTACCGGAGATGGTTCCGGCAGATTTCATGACTGCCCGTTCTCACCTTCTCATCCCACTGGAAATCAGGAGTAATCGTTAGCTCCACTTTCAGAGTAGACCTGGTGATGGGTTGTAAGTGGACAGACAGCTCCAGTTTGGGGAACAGGTGGACATACTTGTGGATTGTCTTCCCCATCTTGGGCATCCGAATGAGCTCTCCTGCAGAAGGAGAGCATTGGTCAAAGAGGAGGAGGAGGAGGAGAAGCGGACCTTCTCAGGAGCATCAGACCCAGGCGTCAAAAGTTCCGACTGACGGACCCAACCCAGCAAGCACCGTCAAGACTATTCCATCACTTAATGCAAAACTTTATGGAGCCCGTCCTTTCGGCGCAGAATGAAAGCAAAACCAGCTCTGGCTAATTCCCGCGCAACTCAATATAATTAAAAGTAGAGAATCTTCCCTCCCTCCAATTCGTATAAGTCACATGGTCCAATTAAATGTCACAATATTGTTGTGAGAAGATGCCTGGAAGGTCTGGCAAACCCCTGCTGAAGGGACCTTGGTTCTCATCAGTGCTTGATGGTTATGATCCACACTCCAATTCCCCCTTCCTTCCCCCCAGCAGGTCAAGCTAAGAAGCAGTAAAAGTGAAAGCACTTTGAGTAAGCTTCGAATCTTGACCCCAGGGCTGGGTATTCCCTATGGCTGGGTTCACACATCGTGGTAAGTTTTTTGCATTATTCAGGTTAAACACACCGTGTGAAACCGGTCACTGGGTTTATTCATCCTGGCTTTATGGCTTACAATGTCAATGTGACCTCAGGCATTTTTTAGTTTACCCAACAACTCATTTTTCAATGCAAGGTCAAGTCTTCGTGTGTCACTTGAAACGCAATTTGAACGCTGAACCGAATTGCCATCGTGAGTTAATCTTTTTAGATACTTTGGGCCTGGGTGATTGAGTCTTCATTTGCAACATCAAACACCAGTTTGCATTTGTGTATTCGAATGGTCTTCAGGAGTTTACTGTTTTATTTACTTTACTTAGAAATATTAAATTAATTACAAATTTTAGATACTTTTGACCCGGGTGATTGAGTCTTCGTTGACATAACTCACACACTGATTTGTATTCGAACAGTCTTTAGGAGTTTACTGTTTTGATGTATTTACTTAAAAAATATCAAATTAATTACCAATTCTATTTATTGCAACGGCCTACATAATACCTGGCCACATCTGTTAGCTCCTCACCGGTCAAAGCTTTTGCTTTCTTCCAATTCAGCCATAATTCGAGCATTTCATTCAGGATCAAAGATGTGCGCTCCGCTCGGTTGCGATACAAAACCGAGCCACGCACCCACTGCAAAGGGATACAGGACCTCCCCAATTCACACCCCTCCCCTCCCCTAAGAGATACCGCAGTTCTCCTCACTGACCTATTTCATTGTGATTCAGGTCATAGAGTCGCTCAAATGGGAAATTCTTCTTCTCAATCTTCTTCACCACCTCTTCGGGCAGCTTCCTGAACTGACGGAGGGGGCACATGGACTGCCACCTGGAGGAACAAGACGGCGGCCGTTCAGGATGCAGAGCTGGTCTAACTTCACTACTGCACCTCTCAAGATCCAAGCCTCAATCATGGCTAGAAAAAGCAAAATGCTAGAAGAGTAGTGGCTAACCTTCTTGGGCTCCGGGGCCAAAAATGGTGCGTCCGCCCCCTACGCACACGCACGTAATCCCCCTTACCTGCCCTGCACCTCACAGCTGATTTTCAGCTGGATTGAGGAAGGCTTCTGCAGGTGTTTCAGGCCAAAAACTAGGCCTGTTTTGTCACTTCCGGTATTTCCGGAAAAAACAGGAAGTGATGAAACGGGCCTAATTTTTGGCCTGCAAAGCCTGCAGAAGCCTTTCTCAAACCTCTGGGAGTCTGGAAAAGGCCTCAAAACGGGCCGAAAATCCGGTGTGAGGCACGCGCATGTGCAGTGAGGTAAGTTTGCCTAGAATTTGCGTGCCAGCGCAAATGGCTCTGCATGCCACCTCTGGCACACGTGCCACAGGTTCACCATCACGGTACTAGAAGGTTGCAGTTTACTTCCTTTCATCTGGCTGAACCTTCTATTTTTACCTGCAGAAAAGTGGCCTTTTGTGAGGGCTGGGAGACTCAATTTTGCTCATTCTCATTCGCAAAAGACTTCGTAATTTTACTATCTGGGTCAGATGGGCCTGTTCCTTGTACAAGCTTGTGTGTGTGTGTGTGTGCAAAAACGGAACCTTGTCCTCTCGACATAGAATGTGGGAACTACACCGTTGCAGTCACATTTCTGGTTTTGTTGTGGTCCGCTGGCAGCAGGTGCAGACGGCTGAGTTCTCAGAGAGCGAAGACTCGGATGAGGGGCCTGCGTGGGATGCAGGGATGGAGCCAGGACCATCAGGGAGTGGAGTGCTGCCTTCGGAGACTGTGGCAACTGGCAGCAGCAAGGAGGAGGTCCCCGAGGAGCCTGTGCCAAGTGCACATGCACGCAGGGATAGTCAAAGGAAAGCGCAGCTGCAGCAGCACGGGCAACTTGGCAGTAAGGCTGCAAGGTAATAGCCCCTCCCTTAAGGGATAAAAGCCAGCCTGAGAGACTGGGATTCTTTGCAGGAAGCAAAGAAGTTCTTGCACTTCAAGCCTTGTGGAAGTTCGGACTATCTTGGTTGGTGTTTGGAGACTCTTTGTGTTTGGAATATTTCTTACTAACTTAATCTAGTGTTCTTGGCAGCCTTGCACAACCTTGGAAAGCCTTGTTCTTATCAGAGACAATTAGTTTTCATAGCTTTTTAACCGTGAATTAACGGAATTCCACAGAAAGGCATTAAAAGGTTTTGCTTTTATCTCTGTTTGGTGTTTGTTTACTTGGAACAAGGTTTGGGTCAGAAGAGCTTTTCTCACAAGATCTCTTTGGAAACAGAGGCGCTTATTAGAATATTCTAGGATATAAGACACCCACATCTTCACAACTTCTATGCCTGATCCCCTCCTTTCTCCACTAAACACTGTTGAAAAATTGTTAAAATTCCGGCAGTATTTACGTTTTCCTTATGTTCTTCCCCAAACACAGAGACAGAATTCAGCAAGCCTGGACACAGATGATCACAAGTACATTTTAGCCAGATGCATCATTTGTGGGAAACCAAAGTTTGTATATATTCCTTTTTTGAAGTTTAATATACAGTACATTTCCTATCTTAATCCTTACGCCCCGTTTCAAACAACTTAATTATAGTAATAGTTTACAAGGAACTAAACTTATTTCTGAAGATACATGCACAGAAACGAAACTATACAATAGGAAGATGACTATGACTGGTTAGAAGTTGACAGAAAATATAGAGAAACGAAGAGAAGCCGCCTTACATTCGCTTGTCAATCATCTTGCAAAGGTTGAGGGTCTTGTCGGTGAGCTGGGCCCAGCCATGGTTAAGGACAATCTCAAAGATGGCACGCATGAGCCTCCCAGCAGACTAAGAATACAAAATGAGAGTGTCAATTTCAACACACAACGGGTACCTAGAGAAAGAGGGAAATACTGGGCATCCCATCCCAGAGAGCTTTTAATGTCCTGACAAGCAAAAGAACCATCACCTTCTGAATCCTAATGTCAACTCATAAAATATTTCTATGGTTTTGAGGCAACTTGCAAACCAAAACTCCATAAATGTTTTTGAAAATAGTTTCTAGATGACTGAAGTTTCTGCCCTGCAAAATGCTTACTGAAGAGCGTGATGGATGACTCTTGGCTATGGATACATCCCATTGGAGAATATGGATTACGATACACCCAAGGGTGGGGGAACCCCAGGGTCAAGGGTGACAATGAATGATGTGCCTCAGAGTCGGCTACACCCAGGTAGCACCGGCATGTCTACTCCTAGTAAATCTTCTTTGGAGCTTTGAAAATCATGATTTAAATGGGGGTTACTACCGGGAGCCCTGATACTACCCTCCATTCCATGAGGATCAGATTTTGGTGGCATTCCTCCCTCTCCTAACTCCCTCAACCGTATAACTTTGGACAACCAAGAGGTGGAGCAGACAAACTGGACTCTAGTCCACCAGGGGCTTTATGGTTTTTAATATTTCACGAAATGGGAGTGGGGGGTGCGGGGGAGAGAAGGAATCTTCAGGTTCCACAAGGATCCGGTAACCCTGGGAGAATCTTCTCCAGCATGAGGGCAGCGACACCCAAAGACGGAGGCATCAAATTACCTCAGAACTGCGGCTCACCTGAGTGACGTAGACCATGTCAGCCATGAGGGCAAAGCCTTCTAGCTTCAGTTGAGAGATAAAAGCTTGGAGGAGCACGTTGATCTAGGAGAGAAAGCGAACTTAAGCACCCTCCAAAGCAGGGGTCTCCAACCTTGGCTACTTTTAAGGCTTGTGGACTTCATTTCCCAGAGTTCCTCAGTCTTTCCAACCTCAGCTCTCCTTTAAAACTTGGGAGAGTTCGATTCCCAGAATTCCTCAGCCAGCTTTGCAAAGGCTTCCCTCGAGGCCGCAGAAAGGCGAAAAGGGGCCCCCAATGGGCCAAAAATCAGCTGGGAGGTGTCCACATGCGCAGTGCAGGTAAATTTAGCTTGGTGCTCACGTGCCCACACAATTGGCTCCGCGTGCCACCTGTGCCACACGTGCCCTAGGTTCACCATCACGGCTCTAGATACTTGGCGATGCGTTATGAATAGGCATATGCACTGTAAAAGTTAAGCAAACCCAGGCAGGGCTTGGAAGAACCTACCTTGGCGCTTGGCTCCTCGATGCTCTCTTTCACTGGAATTGGGACCCTCTCAAGCAATTTCTGAAGCTCCAATTTCTCTTCCTGCAAAGGTGAGGAGAGGGGGTGGGGAATTGAAAAGTGAGTCGCCTCTGCCACGCTAGAGTCGAAAGAGCAAAAAAGCGAACAAGCAAAAAGAGTTTTATTTTTATTAGGGTTCCGTCAACCGGACTCACTGCATAAAGATAAAAGAATGTGGAGTTCAGAATTCCGTTCCAAAAGGACTAGAAAGGAGCTTTTCTGAACCCCTTTTGAATAAAGTTCCTTCATTTCAACGGTATAATTTGGCTGCAATCTACGAATCCGTTGGCTAAGGTGATGGGTGAACTACTGCAAATCATCCATACATCTGCTACCCATGTTAAGTCGATCGATACCAAAGCTAAAAAGGCAGCAGCGAAGGGCTTGCAAGCTAAAAAATTTTTGTTGATTCTATAAAATAAAAAATAAAAAAATGAAAGAACCGTGAGTTTCTGAGAAAAGTGAAGGGATGGCTAGAATGCCAGATATTGAGGAATGAGTTTAGTTTAGTTTATTCTCGTTGCACCTCGTACAACGAAATCAAACCCCATCTTCAGGGCACATCATGACCATGAAAATATAAACAAACACACATCCTTCACACTCCACACACTGAATGGAAACCCCTGCACTATACAGCAGAATTCAAACACTGCACCATACAGCAGAATTCAAAAGAGCTATTGCCCTAGGATAGCTGTTTTTCAGCCTATTTGTCCTTGTTTTTATTATCCTGTACCGTCTGCCAGATAGTAATAGTTCAAAAAAAGGGTTCCCAGGATGAGATGGATCTTTGAGAATGTTTTGAACTTTCTTAAGGCAGCGGGAGCTACAAAGCTCTTCCAAGGAGGGGAGAGGGCAGCCAATGACCCTCTGGGCAATGATGTTAACTCTCTGGAGTGCTGTCCTATCTGTCCCTGTGCAGTTGGCAAATCCTACACAGTGTGCAGTAAGTTAAGATACTCTTTATGGTACAGCGGTAGAAGGTCACCAGCAGTTTTCCATTCAGTTGCTCTTTTCTGAGAAGCCTCAGGTAGTAGAATCTCTGCTGGGCCCTTTTGACCAGGGCTGCAATGTGAGCCCCGCCAGGTCAGGTCCTCTTTTAGGGTAACACCCAGAAACTTAAAACTGGCCACTTGCTCCACTCGGTCTCCATTGATAAGCAAGGGCTGGATGTTCCTTCTACAGTCCACTATAAGCTCCTTGGTCTTATTGGTGTTGGGAACCAATAAGTTGAGTGCCTTTATTTTTATGAAGTTGAGCTAAGCAACAATAGCATTGGTGTTAATATTCCAAAAACTATTTTAATCCCTGAAAGATGAAAAACAAGCAGAGAAACTAAGGCACTGATGTTCTACTCCTTCCCCTGATAAAAGCAAGGATTTGGAGAAAGCTCTTGCCGTGACTGTCTTGGAAGGAAATGCTGCCTCCGACTTCCTACCTCTCTCACGGTGATGTTCTTGAACTCGGAGGACAAGGAGAAGACGCGGAAGAGCTCAATCTCACTCAAGGTGGGCTTGAGTAGCTGGTTGTAGGTCTGTATGGTATCGTTGGTGATGTAATAGTGGCTGGCGATGCGGCCCAGCTCAGTCACCTGTGGAGGGAGAAGAACGACGGGGGAAAGGTCAGCTAAGACGGGGAGAAGAATCAATCCACCGTAGGCAGAGCTACTAGGCATTGTAGTGTGGCTGTTCTAAAGCCATGGGAGCTGGTAGTAATCAGGTGAAGGGGTTTATGGCTCTGCAACCCAACAAGGCAGACACAGACTCCAGAGGATAGTTAGGACTGCAGGAAAAACAATTACTACCAACCTGCCTTCCATGGAGGGCCTGTATCTTGCACGAGTCAAAAAGAGGGCTCTAAAAATATCTATAGACACCCCCCCACATCCTGGACATAAACTGTATCAACTCCCACCTTCAAAATGACATTACAGAGCACCGCATACCAGAACAACTAGACACAAGGAGTTTTTTCCTCAATGCCATCACTCTGCTAAACAACTCGTTCCCACAACTGTGTCAAGCTATTTAGTAAGACTGCATTCTTCTTCTTCTCATCTTTCCTATTACTTATCTCCTTTTCTACTTATGACTATAACTTGGTTGCTGGGATCTTCACAATTTACATTGTTTTATTTCGTTTCCTGGTATGATTGATGTTGCTTGCTTACATGGTATCTGTCCTGTGTCTGTTACTAAGTGTTGTATCTTATGATTCACGATGAATGTATTTTTATGACTACGACCATGATTCATCACTTACAGCTTTTATGCACAGAGAGCTTGTGTATTGTAGAGAAATTCCTTGTGTGTCCACACTTGGCCAATAAAGAATTCAATTCTATTCTATTGTTAGTTTTGTGTGGATACTTTGGGCCTCATACATAATAGCAATAGCACTCAGACTTGTATACCACTTCACAATGTTTTACGGTACTAAGTGGTTTACAACATCAGCATACGGGAACCTCGGTGGCGCAGTGGTTAGAGTGCAGTACTGCAAGCTACTCCTAGTGCCACCAGGCTCAAGGTTGACTCAGCCTTCTGTCCTTCCCAGGTGGTAAAATGAGGACCCAGATTGTTGGGGGCAAGAGGCCGACTCTATAAACCGCTTTGAGAGGGGTGTAAAGTCCTGTGAAGCGGTATATAAGTGCTATTGCTATATTGCCGCCTTTTTTATTTCACCAACCTCAGAAGGATGGAAAGCTGAGTCAACCTTGAGCCGGTCAGAATCGAACTCCTGGCTGTGGGCAGAGTTAGCCTGCAATGCTGCCTTTTAACCACAGTGCCATCACGGCTCTTAAACCAATCACCAACACCAGGGATTATTTATGGCCAGGCCATTAACAGACGCTGATGGTATTTGGTTCAGGCAAAGTAACCTGGACGTCTCTGTACTCACCTGGAAATTCCCCGTCTTCTTGTCGTATTTCACTAAGTTGTTTTTGTCCAGCATCAGGGCTGCTGTGTGCACCAGGTCTAGCCGGCGCTGGTCCAACAGTGGGTCTCCTTTCATGTCATCGTGGGAGATGCCATAGAGATTTGGAGACCTCAGCATCCGTATGTAGAGGTAAGTGTAGCCAAGCCAGTTTACTGCATCCTGCAACAGCCCAAAGAGGAAGCCCAGGGAAGTGCTATTAGTCTCTGAAAAGCTACAAGGACAGGGGAATGAAACGGCTTCTGCAGCCTTTTGGTGAGCAATATCTACATGCATCTTTGGTGTATAGATGTAGTTTATCTCTATGTGTCTGTTGATGTCACTGATGTCACGGTGTGTAATTGTTACTCAACTCCATCCTAACCATTCATTCATTTATTAAAACTGTAGCCTGCTGTTGGTTCCATATGGGATAGCTTACTAAGCGGCACACAAGTGCACAGCCTCCTTTTCTTACTTCATGTCTGTCATGCCCCTGTCGGAGTCTGAATCCGAGGAGGAAGATGGACAGCTGACAGGGAGTGGGAGTGTGGCTCCTTTGGCTGTGGAGGAGGCCGGGGAAGGGCAAAGTCTGGGCAGAGCAGGGGAGAGGTAGAACAAGGGAGATAGTTCAGAGGAAGACCCAGGCCCACCCCCTCTTCTTCCTAGGGCAGGGAGGAATGGAAAAGAGAGCAATGTGGGTTGCGTGGCTTACGGGGAAGGAAAGGGCCCTGATTCCCTTCATTAGCCGCAGATGGGGAGAGAGTTTAAAAGAAATGCATGCTGAGTATGGTGGCGGCTGGGAACAAATATGACTTTATCCTGTGTTGTCGTTGCTTATCTGTGTTCCTAGTGTCTTCCCAACCATGTGAATTTTTCTGTGCCTTCACGTGTAGAATTATTGCCCCTCCCAAACTAATTACCTCAGTTTGGTTTGACTGGACTTATAGTTACAGTTTTTGTTAACCACATTTTGGACTTGATTCACTGCAGCCAAAGGCTGTTTCTGGGAGTTTTTCTCCAGCTAGAAGGTAACCAGGACATTGGAAGCAAAGTTGGAGCTAATAAAGGGACTCTTATTGCTTATCTGACTGTGTTGCCTTTGTGCCACGCCTCTTTGGGTCATCACAATGTCTATAATGTCCGAAGGCTGCCAACCTCGGAATTATTTCCAAACATGAACCGGATATGGGCACCCCGTCCTCACCTTGGCATTCTGGACGTTTCCCAGCACAATCTCTGCATTGAGCATATCGGGGAGCCTGGCCACCATCTGGCTCTCGATGGGCAGCTGCTGGTTGAGAAGAGAGAGGTAATACTGCAGCTCGCCGTGGGACGTGATCAGGATACCTTCGCCCTTCGTGTCATACTGAGGCCTTCCAGCACGACCCAACATCTAAACAAAACACATCACACGTCTTGAGATACAAGCATGGGATCTGATACAGAGTTTCAAGTTTCTTGTGATGAGAAAGAATGATGGTCTGGGTACTTAAATGCACTGCGTTAGTGGAGTGCCCAACTGGGGAGAGCAGGATTTTACCTGTAGGATGTCCAGGGCACCCAGCTCAGTCCAGCGTCCTTTCTCAGGACTGTAAATCTGTGTCCCTTTGATGATGACCGTGTGAGCAGGGAGGTTAACACCCCAAGCCAAGGTTGCAGTGGAGACCAGAACCTGCAAGAGAAGGATTAGATCTCATCCCGTGTCTAATATTTCCATAAAAGTGCAATATCAGCAAAAGCCTAATTATATAGTATACAGGTCCTTCCATGGAGGACCTGTATATACTGCATGAGTCACAAAGAGGGCTGTGAAAATATCTACAGACCCCTCACATCCTGGACATAAACTGTTTCAACTCCTTCCCTCAAAACGACGCTATAGAGCCCTGCACACCAGAACAACTAGACACAAGGGGAGTTTTCCCCTCTGCTAAACAAGTAATTCCCTCAACACTGTCCAACTATTTACTAAGACTGTTTTACTATTCTTCTTCTCACCCTTCCTATTACCTATCGCCTCCCACTTATGACTATAACCTTGTTGCTTGTATCTCTACAATTTATATTGCTTTATTTGTTTCCTAGTGTGGTGTTGATTTCTTATTTAGTAACCTATGACTATCGCTCAATATTGTATCTTATGATTCTGGATGAATGTATTTTTTATGTATACCAAGAGCTTATGGACCAAAGACAAATTCCTTGTATGTCCAATCACATTTGGCCAATAAAGAATTCTAGAATAGAGTAGAGTACAACAGAACAGACTACCTGTAGCAAAATACTCCCCATCTAGAGTGACACCCGCCACCCCAAAGCTGTTCACATACAATCTTCCCTGAGAAGGAAAACCTACAGCAGTCCCCAAGTAACGAAAAGATTCCCTCGGAGCCTCCTTTGCCTTCTCTAAGTATTCTAGAACATTCAACAACAGGGAATTTGTTATTCCAGGGAGCGGAATGCCGCACCTGAATGTGTTTATCTGCAAACAAATCTTCCACCAATGTTCGGTCCACCCTGGTCATGCCCGCGTGGTGAATGGCAAATCCATAGGGGAGCAAGTCCTTAAGTTCCAGATTCTGTATACAGGAGAAAACAGCGAAGTTTGTGAGAAGGGTAACAAGAAAGTTCTTCCCAATTTACTTTCAATAATTGGTGGGGGAGAGAGACAGAGAGAGAGAGACACACACACACAGAGAGAGAGAGAGACAGACAGACAGAGAGAGAGAGAGAGAGAGTGTCAGAGAGAGCCAAAGAGAGAGACAGAGACACAGAGAGAGACAGACAGACAGAGAGAAAGGGATACAGAGACATAGACACAGAGAGACAGGGAGAGAGATACACACACACAGGGAGAGAGAGAGACACACACACACAGAGAGAGACAGAGAGAGTCAGAGAGAGACACACACACACAGAGAGACAGAGACAGAGACATAGAGAGACAGAGAGATAGGGAGAGAGACAGTCAGAGAAAGAGAGACAGAGAGACAGAGAGAGACTGAGAGAGAGAGACACACACACAGAGAGAGACAGAGAGAGTCAGAGAGACACAGAGAGAGAGAGTCAGAGAGTGAGTCAGAGAGAGACACAGAGTGAGTCAGAGAGAGAAAGAGAGACAGAGACATAGAGAGACAGAGAGATAGGGAGAGAGATAGACAGTCAGAGAAAGAGAGACAGAGAGAGAGACAGAGAGAGAGAGACAGAGAGAGAGAGAGAGAGAGAGAGAGACAGACAGACAGACAGACAGACAGACACACACACACACACACACACACACACACACACACACAGAGGTTCCGGGACAAGTCCAAAAGTTTGGAAGACCTCTGGCCCCAGTCATCGACCCAGATTGCATTCTGCAATATTGTTGTCCGGACTGCCCTCTTGCTAGGACGTACCGTGGAATGCAAAGCCAACCAGCCAGCAAAAGACAGGGACAGTCGGTTTAACACCTAATCGGACACTCACAGATAACCCAGAGGAGGAGGAGGAGGAGGAGGAGGAGGAGGAGGGACGGAGGAAGAAAGGAAAATACGTACGCACCTTGCACTGCTCGGCCTCGGTCCTCAGGACCTCCGTGGAAGCAGAGCCCTCTCGCAGGAAGAGGCCCAGCGTGTCTTTCTCCAGGCACATATCTCGGATGGCTCGCGCCGTCTTGCCCGTCTCCTTCCGGGAGTGGACGAAGACAAGCACCTGGGTTCAAAAGGTCAGAAACAGAACCGTTAAATCAGAGTTCGGCCCGCAGCGGCGGCGGAGTTTCCGGGGTTAGAATGCTGGAGAGAAGAGAAGACGGCGAACGAGACACCGAGAACGACGGCTGAATAAAGCAGGAAATCTGCAGCAAAGAACCAAGAGGGGTTTTCTCACAATGGGGTCTATCTCGTTTTGCAATCCCTTGGTTATCTTTCTTTTTTTAAATATTTTTTATTGGATGATAGAATAAAATACAAAAACAAAATATAAAAAATATGAAAGCGAATAATAGGACACAGTGGTGCTTCTCCCAATGGACCTAACTAGTTTTGCTTTGTTATCTTTTTTTAACGACATTTTATTAGATCTTAGAATAAATAAAATCTGTATCTATAAAAGCGAAAGACCCCTCGCGCATCATCACAAAATCTCCAGAACCGTAAAGCCTACAAACTTGAAATTTGGCACGTATCTTCCTCTTGGCTTCTCGGGGCTCACTAAGAACGGATTTTTTGAAGCAACCATCAGAGCATTTAGAGTATTTCCTCTATTATTATTATTATTATTATTATTATTATTATTATTATTATTATTATTCCCCACCTGTAAAGAAATCTGTTCCAAATGCAAAACACAAGCAGAGGAGTTTCAGTTTCACAGCACCAACCAGCTTCAGTACAGAACAGTTGAGCTAAGCCATGCCCAGGCTCCTTGCTGTCTCCTTGCTCACACCGCAAATACTCCTTCAGTTTCCAAACAGCCCTCAACTCTCTCACGCACTGATAGGACGCCAGCCAGATGAATATCGATGGATGCTGGTAGGTAGAGGCAGAATTCCCCCCCACTTATTTTCCTCCCCCAAAACTAAGCCCCACCACACAGTTTCCTAGCAAAGTACAAGTATCCAGCTAGTACAAGGATAAAATATTAAAAATATGAAAGCAAATAATAGGACAAGGTGCGAAGGGGAAGAGGAAAGAAAAGTGAGGAGGGGAGGAAGGGAAGAAAACTTCCATCTCTCTCTGTTGCAGTAGAATAAAGCACGAACAACTAATCCCAACTTTTTACTTATCTAAAGTAATATAAATTAGCCATTCCTATAGCAACAGATCAACGTAATCAGTAAAACCCCAAATCAAAGTTTCATTCCACCTCGATCACACAGTCCAGAAGTAGCAACAAAAGTGCTTGTAATTCTTTCCTTTGATCCAAATGGCCAATTTGCCTTCATTAGCAACAAGATTAAATCCGTGGGAAAATGAAAGGCAGTCACACACACACACACACACACACACACACACACACAAAATACCTGGTTCTTCCCAGCATGCTCCATGATCTTCTCGTACACGATTTCATTCATAATCTGAAAGCGCTTGATGGCTTTTTTCTCTGTGATTCCCACGTAGGTCTGCTCCAGAGGAACCGGGCGAAAGCTGCGAAGACACGGGAAGAACTGAGAGAGAGCTGAAGACGACCACAGGCGGCCTTGCAAAGTGTAAATCAGAGGTGCAAAAAAAATCTGTTTATATCCAAGACATGCTTTGTACAGCTCCTTGGGCTGTTTGACAGAAGCCAGGCAACCAGTATTACATTGCTCGATTTTTATCTCAGGAACTACTTGTCTTGTTAATCCACTCCGCTGGTTTGCTCTAAATTGCCTTCCACCTCATAAAAGAGTCAGCTAGTGGTTAAGGCAGCAGGAAAAGAAAGAAAAAGGGAAGGGGGGAGAGGGGGAAGGGGAAGGGAAGGGAAGGAAAGGAAAAAGGAAAGGAAAAAGGAAAGGAAAGGAAAGGAAAAGGAAAGGAAAAAGGAAAGGAAAAAGGAAAGGAAAGGAAAGGAAAGGAA